CCCCCCGGTTCCTACACCCTGGCTCCTAAAATTGTAAATTGGGTATAAACAAACATTGGCCAAATTTGTCTATTGGCAATATTTTAGGAACACTTCTATCGCCACGACTGTAAAAGAAAAACTATCCTTGACATTATTTTCATTCCCGCGTCCTTTCCAGGGGCACAAACGGACTACCGTGTAATTTTGCGCACGTTGTATTGCAATAAGTGTTGTGTATTTTTTCAAAATGCGATTCCGCGAACATCCTCACTCCGTCATAATACATATCTGCCATCATGCGACATCGCTTCTCTTCCTTGCTGATGCCACGTAAGAAATCCCATAATTCCATGAGTGCCTCGATGAAACGTCTCTTACGTGACAGCGTACGAGGTTTGCAGAGAATTTTCATGTCACGCAGGAACGAGGTGTCGCAGTCAGCACGTGACCATTTGAAATGGTAGCCCTATTATAAGACGAACAAGAATAAATTTTAAAAATAGAAAGCTGTTGGCGTTTGGATACAAACTGTAGTGGGAACCTTTTGAGGTAAAAAATATATCTGATCTATCTATATGATTTGGAGCACTCTAGCATTTCGTGAACCAAACCATACTCGTATATTGAACTTTCAGGTTGCTACTAGATTTTCATTAACTATGAATAACTTGTTAACAAGATACAGTTGAGTTCGCTGTAATTGGCTAATCGCTGTTGCGAATACGTACCCTGCCTTATAGTCCATTTAGTTAATTCGTTAAATTATTACTTTGTAATAACTGCATGTTAAGACTATCTGGCGAAGTTAATAAATTAAATTAAATTAAACAGTTGTTGGAGTAACTCAAGTCTTGTAGAAAGGCTTAGAGTCATCTTCCCAACAAGCTGGTAATCTGGAGTGCTATATAAAGCTTATTGCAAATACATCCTGTTGACAAGGTTTTTTACGTCTAAAAATGTACCAACAGAACTCGTTCCACCGACCAATTTTTCAGAAGATTGTGGAGGGAAGGGGCGGTGGGGTGGGTGTCGCCCTCAGGCAATTGCTAGATAGTATACTTCAAAATAAGGTTTCCGTTTTTATATCAATTTTTAAAATAAGTTAGGGTTAGGTTAGGGTTAGGTTGGGGTTAGGGTTAGGTTTAGTGTTGGGGTTAGGGTTTAGTTTTGCGTTAGGATAGTTTTTTCTACGTTATAAAAACGCAAATCTTATTTTGAAGTATGCTATCTAGCAATCACCGTCGCCCTCAAGCCCACCAAGAACGGTACATGCCATAAGGATATCTGGATATATACAATTGACAACCCCGGGCATCGTCGCCTGCCCTTCATTCTAGGCAGTACATATGAATATTAATCACAAGAACTTACACATCCATAACAAAGATCATGTTTATTACAAGCTTTAGTAAAAGTCTCTTTGAACGGCATGTCTATTCCCAATGGAACACTACAGCCATTAGTATATGAATCAGCGTCACATTCCCCCTTTACTAACAATCTCGCGTAACTTGATAACAGGATAAAACACCATAATATTGTTGATATCATAAACGACTTGAATTAGCCGTGGTCTTGTCTTGTTCGAGGAGAATAGCTTTGATAATTTACAAAACGCGCGTTTTATTGTCGGTATCCCGATTTCAGAGATTTTAGAAATTTTATATTTTGTAGTTTATGGTTGGTTTGTCACTGAAACATTAGAGTCTTCAATTGAAACATTTTTATTTCTTTTGGAATCTTGACTACGAATTCAAGTAGACGATTTTGTCACTACGGTAAAATATAATGACGGTACCTGTCAGACGGAGATATGAATAATTCATGACCTGTTCATTAGGACTCTTTTAGGCCGCGATAACTACGCCGAACCCTATAAAGTTTTTGATGTCGGGGGTACCTCAATAACATTAAGCCAGTAACATTTTAACACGGAATTTCAAGGATTAAGGCCTAGTCACACTACATAACGATAACGATACGATAAATTTCAAACACGCGATAATTGGCAAAAAATTTGTGTCAGTGTCCACACTATAACGAAAATGATAAAATTATCGTTTGAAGATAACGATAAATTTTAAAATCGCTCAGGTGAGCGATTTTGTTTCAGTCGGACGATAACGATACATTTTTGACCAATCAGCGCGCGTATACAAGTTATCGTTGTGTAGTGTGACCTGGGCTTTATAAAGAACGTGAAGATAATCATCTGATTATCAATTTCCCGTTTGTAATACAAAATGACTGAAAAACGGCAAACTTCGCAAGGCTATATTATCTGCATTTTACAACATTTCGCAACGAAACTTCGGAATATTACTAATTTTGTGATGCTCTTTCAAGTTGTGATGAAATTTTTGTCCAGACCTATCTAGATCAAAATTTCACTCAAAAGGGGAAAGGTCTATTACGCTAGATGAGACTCTACACCCTGTTGGAGACTCTAACAGGATGCACGAGAGTTGGAAATTATGATGTAACACAGTTCAATGGATAACCTCACTGTTCCATTTCTTCATAATAGTGCATATCCATAGTCATCTCCTTAAGTATGTTACGTGGGCATAGAATAAAGATCCATATAGAAGGGCCACTTACGTCGGAAGCTTTGAAGTTTCTGTCCTCGCGCATGTCGCATTACGCATGTTGGCCGCCATTTTCCTAGCCAGTCAATGACATTTTCTGGCCAATAAACACGCTGTACTGTACTGTATATTTTTGCATAAAAAAACGAGGACACGTTGCACCGCTGACTGGCCCTTCTGTTACTGATCTTTATTCTGTACATGGTGTGGGTGTAATAACCTCCGGGCACAAAATACTAATCAGTTTCGTTTAGCCTGAAAACGCTAAATCGGACAACAAATTATTTTTGCAGAAAGACTAAATTTTGCACAGATTGCACGCGATAAAGAGTCGTCAAGAACTTATCCCTGACTTATCTATATAGAATTGCGTGCTGCGAGTAAAAACACGCGTGGGCGAAGATAATTGCGTCATTGTCACGCATAATTAATTCTACGAATGCGGAACTGTTTCTACGTAAAGCGAACTTGAAAGTGCGACTTGCCAGTGACAGCACGCGTTCTCGAAATAAATTGTGCAAGCAAAGACATTTTCCCCCAAAAGGTACGCTTATTCTATTTGTAAAGTTTTTTGTACATTGTAGTCGTAGCTAGGCCTGGAATATAGCTATTAAAACTAAATAAACTAAACAATGAATCTTTGTTTTTATACGTTGCAGCTCATGATGAAATTCTATTTCGCTTGCTTTCTTTTACTCGCTGTATTACACTCTACAAAAGGTTTGTTTCTGTGGATGTTTTTGCTTTTGTAATGTATTTGTATAGTATCGTATTTGGTGTTGATTTAAAATGATAAAAACCGCCAAAATCTCGGCCAGAATTCGTTGATATGTAAAACACATGCAAGTCCATGTTCCAAATAATTGTTTGTGCGTCGTGCAATGCACGTGATCATTGAATGCAAGAATGTAACAATTGTATTCATGAGCTCAAAAAATGTTTTTTTGCAAGAGAAACAAGGCTGCTTTGGTGTAGAGGAACATTAAGATTTACAGCCAAGTTAAAAATTACATTTTGTGATTTTGCCAAGCAAATTTACATCATTATTATTAAACTCATCGAATCAGGCAATCTCATCACGATCCTCTTGACAAATTAAAAATAAACTGTGTCTTGCATTATAGACTTTGTAAAATTATAAGCAAAGTCAGGTATGGGGGCACACTACAGCTTAAATTAATGGATTAAATTTTCTTCAAGAGCTAAATATTATAAACACAAAACAGGTTACCATACTCGACATAATGTTTGATACACCAACCCACTTGAATGGTAAGTGTTGTAAGACTTGGCATGGAATAATGAACGAACATGTTGGCCTTTTGAACCACTGTCAGCAGCTGAAATAGATTGTTCTACAGAGAAGAACTGGATTGAGGTCGGGATGTTGATAGTTGAGGTTGGCATTCACAAATGCCGACCTCGTTTTAGATGGCTAGCTAGCCTTGGAGCCCTTTAAGCAAAGGAGGCTATGTATTGTTACTAGAGTGTAACTGTAAGTTTCAATGGTTAGCATCCTTGCCCGCCCACAAAAAAGGCCCCGCTCAGGATTTTTTTTTATTTAAAAAAAACAACTTTTATTGATCAACGGGGTCTAATATATGTAGTATTTTTGTTGACTGTAGTTAATTGTGTTAATAAATTGCAAAATTGTGTGCATAAATGACGGTATGAATCATATTTTGAAACATAAAAAAATATCTGTACTGCGCAAGAAAATCTAGTTTCGGACCTAAAACCAAGGTGTTAAAAATTAGTATAAATTTAAAAAACCCGCCTGCCTGCCCACTTTTTGGCAAAAGCTAAGGACACTAACCAACTAGCGGCCTAAGTTCAGGTTTTCCTGAGAAATGCAAAATTACACCATAATTTTTGAGAAAAGCCCCTTAGTTAGTTTGGAAGAGTCTTAGAATCTTTGTCTAAAATGCCTCCATATTTATTACCTGTGTGTCATTTGACCATCGTTGACCTTTAGTATGAAGTGCTTCAATATGTACATAAATTAATGTATCAAGGAAATCCAAAACACTTGCTAGCCAAGCACAATTCCTCTTTCCTGTCATTTGTACCTGACAAGAGCTGAATCATTTCACTGCCTTTCACTTTATTTCAAGGCATTTGCATGCATTTATTCACAAATTGGTATAATATATAGCACTAGGTGACGTGTTTCAAGTTTGCTTTTTGTTGAGAATCAATATGCACTTGTACTTGCATACTTTACATTGTGGATACCAAATTTGGATACCAGATGTTGAAACTTGGTATCCAATTTGGATACCCAAGAGGGTCTTGCCTACCTGAGCCCAGGGCCGTAACTAGACATGATAATTGGGGTGTGTATATTCATATATTCATGTTCACATACTGTAATACTGTAAAAACAATCACTTTCAAAAGCAATCTGTCAGGCAGAACACAGATATATGAATATGCACCCCCCTCCCAATTATCGGTCTAGCTACTTTGAGCCATTTTCATTTCTACATATTTTATCAAGACAATTACAATGTTGCCATTAACATCAAAGTCTATCATTAGTTAAATGGCAAACCTCTTACATTTGGTGAACTAAACAATTTAGTAAAGCACAATACACCCCCATTGATGAGTAAAACATCCTCTGGAGTTAGTAAAATACCGTAAAGTCTCGAAAGTAAGTGCCCCCTCGAAAGTAAGCGCCCCTCGAAAGTAAGCGCCTTTTTCAACACTTGCTAGAGAATCTGGAAAGTAAGTGCTCCCATCCACCCCCGAAAAATGTTTTGTAAAGTTGTAAAACATAGGGTACATATAAAAGAAACTCTGTATACCATATATACTCTATGGTATGGATTTAAAAATGGAAAATAAAAACTCGAAAATAACAACTCGAAAGTAGGCGCCCTTCGAAAGTAAGCGCCCCTAAAAGTAAGCGCCCCTAAAAGTAAGCGCCCCTAAAAGTAAGCTCCCCTTGAGGCCACTAATTTTGAAAGTAAGCAGGGCGTTTACTTTTTCGAGACTTTACGGTAATAAAGTAGGGTGCAGTTGAGTGCATTGCAACATACAGTAATGGGTTAATATTACTGTAAAGTGTTTACTTTTAATGAAAATGAAAGAATTTAAATGATTGGCATTGTTTAATTTTCCAGGTACAAATTCGTCATTACATGGAGGAAATTCCAGCAGTGCTATTAATGGAGGAAATAACAGCAGTGCTATTAATATTATTTCCATTTCAAGCACCTTGATCAGCCCAAGTGTTACAAAGACTAGTTCTATCCATGCATCTAGTGGTACACCTGTCATTAGCGCAAGTAGCACCTACATACCTAGCCCAGGCAACACAAGTGTCATTAACCCTAGTAGCACAATGAACCCCAATATGACAAGCCCCATTCACCCTAATAACACTGTCAACCCAAATATGTCAAGCACTGTTCACCAAAATGCTTCGACTCCTGTACCTTCCAACGTTTCTCCCAGCCCTTCCAACGTTTCTCCCAGCCCTTCACATTCTATGACTCCAGTAACACCACACCCACATCCTGGTAAGTTAACTGAATTGTTAAAAAGTCATAATTTACATCCTGAAGCATGCGACATACCTAATGTATTGCAATGCAATCATTGAATAACTTACAAGTCAGTCTGTGTGTGGCCAGCCAACCAATGATGCACCAATATCTATATCTGTGTATCAGTACTAGAATAGAAATATCGGCATTGGTAATTTTGTTGTTGATATTACCGAGATATTCCATATTGGTGCATCACTACTTGATTAGGGACCAGTCATTATTTATGGTGGGAGTGATGCCAAAGAGAAATGTTTTTCTTGGTGGAAATTTTGCTCATCCAACCATTACAAAGTGAAAAATTGTTTTACCTAACCTCAAATATAAATAAAAAAATAAATACCCACCCCTGGCCAAAAACGTTACAAAACGATACCATTCAGTATTTCAGTTGTCACACATGCATGTCCTTTACCACTTAATATTCTGCAGTCTAAAGTTTCATATTGTTTGCACATGTACTTTCTTTTGAGTCACCATTTGCCTCCTGACAAATTGGAAAATGGTCAAGATTCACATATTGTTTTGATATATGACTGTTGTCTGTTGACACTGCTTTTTGGTCTTCAACATGTGAGTGAGTCATGCTTTAGAACAGCCTTTGTCGCAGATAGACCTTTTACAAGGCCTCATTTTGATGGAAATAGTGGGGGAGGTGCAAAGAAATTTGGGGGAGGTGCAGTGATCTACTGTAGCTCTCGACCCCCCTGGAAAGTTAGGACTTAGAACGGACCAAAGTCAACGTGACGTATGCATGTAGTGTACATACAATGTATCAGTGTATTAATGAATTATGACTGTACAACTCATCCAATTTTGCCCTTCATTACAATTACTACAAAGTTTCTTTCAAAACATTACATTTAAAGGGTACTTGACACAGAGATGAATAGCTATCACTGTTTCAATTTTACAGAAAAACTTTCTTACGAAGTGTAGACCCTAAGCAACCGAAAGTTGTCAAATTTTCACTTTGATCTATCATTGAAACTTTCCCAAGGGGAGGTGCATGACTTTTTAGGGGAGGTGCAAAAATTCTCAGGGGAGGTGCAAAACGATCTCAGGGGAGGTGCGCATCTCTCCACACCTCCCCTCAAAATCTGGCCATGTGCGACACAGGCTAGCTGTGGCAATATGAAATACATTTTTACCACCCAACCCTTGAGTTTTGTTTTTTATTTACCCAATCTTTTAATGATTCAAATTTTGTTTACCCAACTCTTTTCTCTTTGGTGGCAGCCCAGCCATGAAATATTGACCTTATGCTAGCTGGTATTGATTTGCCCTACTTGTTTGTTACCAGGTAAAGATGACAAGGATTACGACAAAATGAAGAAACGAATGTGGATTGCTGCCAGTTTTGCCATCATATTTGCACTCACCACATTGATCCTTGGTTACCTTGTCTACCGCCAACGCAAGATTAATCGAGAGCTCGAGGGAGATCCAGCCACATCTCGATTGCTCTAAACCAATGCCAATGATCATTTCAAATTTGTAATGGTTAAGTAATTTGACAGGAAATAGTTACGTTTAATGTCCAGACATATAAATTTATAACTTGTAGTCATTGTAGCGAAAGGAGCAGTGGGGCTTGGAAAGTTTTAAGAAGTATTGAGGTGGAGAGAGGCTGATGAATTTAGGTTTCCACCATAGTAACCACAATGTTTATACTTTACATATATATACAACATTTTATGTACTATTTATGCAAGCCCCCTGTGAGTGATTCACTCGTTTCGTTTTATAAAAATACAAATTTTTCAGGCTGGATATTCTTGAGGGGTCCTACTAAACACTGACCGGGACCGTCCTGGACCGACCGTGCCAATAAGTACTAGTTAAAACATGAGCAGTCGATCTTTATCTGATATAAAACGACCCATCTTATGAGTTCATTGGCGAAGTAATTTTAAAAATAAACTTTATCTAAGCTGAAGTTTATGTAAATCAGGGCAAATCTTTATCCGATTTACAAACATTGATTAAACATTATTTCTTTTGTATTTTCCTCATTACGACAATGTGCAATTTCAGTACTTTCATTTCGTTACACGCCAAGCCGCATGAGTAATGGTAAGAAATGTTCTAGCGGTAGACAGACGATCTTTCTCGCTTGACAAGATCGTCTACCGTTAAAAACGTAAAATTATAAAGTTGATACAAAGTTTCCAGGGGTAATTACGATCACAGACGAGCATTTGCTCTCACAGACTGTCCCGGTCGGTGTTTAGTAGGACCGTTCTTGAGGCCTTCCCTTGTTCATACATTAGCGCAGATAAATATATGCCTGCTTACCGCCATAATCCATATCTTGACAGACTATGGCTATATATATTTCTGGTATGTCATATATTTCAGTCTCAATTATGTTACTGTAGAAAACGAAAAGAGTTACAAGATTGTTACTGTATAAAACGAAAAGAGATTGAAACTCTTACTGCTACGGTGACTAATCTTATATAAGTATAACTTCTATATAATTAAAGTTAGTTTTAGCGTTGTTTTGTGATTCGTTAAATTAAGATGATTTAGGTAGACCTTTACTAACCATTATGTGATAAACAATGAGGGAATGAAGCAATAAAATTGTTTGCCGTTTATCTGCATGTGCTGTTAGGACCGATTTTACGTCGAAGTTTGTTTATCTGACTTGAGCCCATTTTCCACTATGGCACAATAGGCGAATTTGTTCGCGCGAACAGTAGAAAAGTAGGAACTGATCCAACTTTTTTCTGGCGAATTTTTTCGTTGACCAATCACATTGCCAAGATTTGGAGGGGGGAGGGGGGAATTTCCTGTGACACCGGGACGAATAATTGCTCAGACCGATCTGAAGACATCCCGCTGTTTATTAACAGGATTGAACACAGGAGCCCATGCTGGGTCTTATTGAAGTTATGTATTAGAATTACGTATGAGATATATAGCTCAGTGTTGAAGCCTGCGATTTGCGGGCTGTGTGCGGGCTAACGCGCGCGTTGAATCTACAATAAAGAAAATATTCAACGCGCGCGTTAGCCCGCACACAGCCCGCAAATCGCAGGCTTCAACACTGAGCTATATATTTCATACCTAATTCTAATACATAACCGGGATGGGCTCCCTGTGGATTGAGCAATGTTTTGCGTGGATTGAGCAATGTTTTGCTGCCCACGTTGTTCACACAATATTGTTGAGCCGGAATTGACCACTTGCGTAATAGACTAAATTTTGATCTAGGCAAAAATTTCGTTGTGAAATGCGGATAATATAGCCTTGCGAAGTTTGCAATTTTCAGTCATTTTATTTTTAGATTACAAGCGGGAAATTGACAGCCCAATACACCCTTTGGGGTAGCCTGCGTAGCTTTCTCCCGCCCGCACTAAACGCCTGCTACGCAGGCTACCTTTGGGCACAGAATACTACACAGAAGTCCATCTCCATTGTTTTTAGCGTAAGCTCTATTCGTCATGATTCGTCACTCAGCAAGTACCGTAAACAGAAGCAGTCACCCCCCTGGAAATACTAAAAATGGCGCACGTCCAGGGGGGTGAATGCTTCTGTTTACGGTACTTGCTGAGTGACGAATCATGACGAATAGAGCTTACGCTAAAAACAATGGAG